TTGTTTAATTCATTTTAAAACACTGCCACTTGCCTTGTGTTTTATTTGTTGCAAATATTTGGTCCCACTGAGTTTTGTGTAGTAAGGATTGCAGCTTATCGAAGCTAACTTAATTTAGAGTTCTTGTCATACCTACATGCCTCTCTTTCTTGTAACTTATGGTAAATGTGATTACACCATGATCACTATTACCCAAGTTGTCTATAACTTGCACTTCTGTAATGAACTCTGTGTTGTTTGAAATAATCGATCCAACATAACATTCTCCTTGTTAGAACCTCCACATCATTGCCTCGCAATAAGTTTAGAAAATGAAAAGCCTTTGTTGAGCATGTAGTTCCATTTGTCCAATCAATATCAGGATAATTAAAGTGGTATTAACCTCAAAATCATCAATGTAATATATTACAGTTTACCAATCCTTAGATGTGGTGGCTACATTCTTTTTCTTTTTTGGGTCTTTTTTCCCTTTGTTTTAAAATGGTGATCTGACCAGTAACACACCTCTTGTATGCATCAATTCTGGATGAATGAGCACAGGGGGTACCTTTGGACAGCAGAATTGTCTGTTTGGGGGAAGGGTGTTAGCTGTACTAGCAGATTTGGATACACTAACAAATTGAAGCCAAACTCCAGCTAACACTTTACAAGCAGTTATAAAAAACAGTTTTTTTTCCCTTTAGAAACAAAGTTTTTCCATAAACAAATAAAATCTGATCATTGCAAGCACCTCTATCAGTGTTAAACGGTTTTCTCTTATCCCTGTAACTGATACAACTGAAGGAGCTCATTCTTTTGAAAAACAACCAACTTACTGGTCAGATCACCAGATGAAAGTAGAAGAAAGAGTACCTATAAAGAAAATTAAAGCAGCTATCACATCTAAGAATTGATTCTCTGCAATATAATAAATGTTTGCTCTTGGGTTTAGTACTGCTTCCATTGCCCTGCTTCCCAGCTAATTCAATCTGTTCAAGAAGCTGAGACTCATCCTTTATGTTAGTACACCTTTTACATACTACCACAAGTAATTTATTATTTGCTTCACTTTTATGGAGCGCCAGTCATAATGACTCTGCACTATCACAGTTGCTTTTCACAGACATGCATACCCTTCCACCTTATCTACCAGTATTGTCTCTCTGTAATAGAATGTACCCCTCAATATTAACAGTCCAGTTGTGTGAGCTGTCCAACCAGGTTTCTGATATTCCTACTAGACATCTGCAGTTTGTTTCGTTCCGAATTGAAATTCGGACTAATTTTCCGTTATTTGGAGATTTGGATATATCCAAATTATGAATTACAATAGTAATGAATTTAAACAAATCTAAAAATAATGAAACAACATTCAGCTGAAATTCTACATTCAAAAACAAATTCAAATTTGAAAACAAGAACTGAATAAAATAGAACAGAAGATAAAGAAATAGAAAAGAATAGAACAGAATAGAGAAAAATAGAAAAAAAATGAACAGAATAGAAAATAAAAGAATAGAACAGAATACAGTAGAAAATAATAGAGTAAAACAGAACAAAATAGAATAGAAAATAAAGGAATAAAAAGAACAGAATCTATTAGAATAGAATAAAAAAGATTACATCGGAAAATCAAAGAATAAAATATAAAATAATACAAAAGATTACAATGGAAAATCAAAGAATAGAATAGAAAAGAATACAAAAGATTAGAATAGAAAATCAATGAATAGACTTGAAATAATGGAGTAAAACAGAGCAAAATAGAACAGAAAATAAAGAAATAGAAAATAATCAATTAGAATAGAATAGATTAGAATAACAAATTCAAAGAATAGATTAGAAAAAAATTAGAATAGAGAACTGAAGAATAGAATAGAATAAAATAAAAAAAATATAACTGCCTTCCAAAATGCGAATTTTGAATAGCATGAATTTGAAAACGGAATACATCAGAATAGAATATCAAATAATAGAAAAGAATAGATAAGAAAAGACTAAAATACTTTACAAAAAATTGTGAGCTGCACTATTGTGACGTGAGTAGTGATCAACAAAGGCACTATGAACATTTTGCTGAAATAGAAATTTCCAATATGGCAACACTTCATATAGCCCATATACCATCAAAAACACATATAGATTGTGAATTATGGATTGTAACGTTAAAATTATTATCGAATCTGTTAGAATTATTTTCAAATCCATTAGAATTGTTTTTGAATCCGTTGGAATTACTTTTGAATCTGTTAGAATTGTTTTCCATCAGAATTATTTTCAAATCTGTTAAAATTATTTTCAAATCCGTGAGAAATTTTGAATTCAATTGAATTCGACTAAATAAAACTAATTCCAAAAAACGAATTAAACGTATTTAACTAATCAAATGAAAAAAAAAAACTAAATTAGTCAAATGATGAATCAAAACTTAATGAACCAAAACAATTTTTTTTTCAATTTGTACATGTCTAATTCCTACAAATTCAAAGTGCTCCTTGAGCACTAATAAAAGTTCTAGTTAATCTGTTTTGCTTGCCAGGCTACATGCATTCCTAAACACACATTTTAATTTTGGACCAGCATTTAATGTTTTTCTATTACTCTTTTTGATCTAAAACTTGAGTGTACTATTGCTTTTGTGTTGGACCTAGTTGGTGCAATTTCACTGTTAAGTTTGAGCCCCCCCAATGTTCCATCCACCTCTTTAGCCCATTACCCCCATAGTTCCTTGCTGTCCATACTGCATATACTTTTCTGATTCCTAACAAACCCCAACCCCCCACCCCCAGATTCTAGTTTCTAAAGCTCCTCCAGCCTTCTAACCATTTTTTCCCCCAACAGAGCTGCACCCCCCCCCCCCCCCCTTCTGTAACTGGCCAAAAAGTTAGCCCAGCTTTCCCAGAACCCAAACCAGTCCTTTTTACCCCAGTTCCTCAGCCACTTGTTCAACTCTCTAACCTCCTACTGCCTCTCTGGTGTGGCGCTCTTGGAGGTCTTTTTCGTTAACTTAATACCTAAGTCTCTGTCATGTACATGATAGCGGTGAAGCTGATGAGCAGGCTGTCCTTACACCTTCTGTCCAATACACCATGGGTTGATGACAGGGAGTAGCAAGATGAGGAGTGGAATGGATGCCTGCGGTAAGTCCTGACACAGTAAGCAGGCCAACAGCAGTCAAGATACTGATGGATGTTGTGGATGTTCAAACTAGAACTTGTGCAGGAGGCTGCCACATGTATGGAGCACCAGAACTTGCAGATACAGGAATCACATTGCCCTAAGCCCCTATACTGAGCCACGGCTTGTAATATGCAAATGCACAGAACATCAGACACGGCCAGGCACTCGATCTTCCTGACAGGCTCTGAGATTTTTTTTTTTTCAGGACACTCCATCTATCTCTAATTTTGACATTTGTACCAACGTGTACCATGACAACTGGGTCTTCCCCAGCCCCACACAGCAGCAATCTGTCAACCAGGGCAGGATCTATCCTATCTGAACGGGGGGTGCAGTAAAAAAAAGGCAAGGGGCATAATAAAAATAGTGTGACAGAGATGCATGGCACCAGTATTCCCTGTTCACTCGCTATGCTTCTGTACCATGGAGTCACAACCTGGAAATTATATCTGTCAAGTAGTGCAGAGAGAACACTAGTATGTATTAGAATGATTAAACAGTACCTGTGTCCCTATCAGAGTTCCTTCTTACATCAGGAGTGCTCAGAGTTCCCCCTTACATCATGATTCCTATAAAAGTCCTCCCTTACATCAGGCGTCCTCATAAGAGTGCCCCTTATATAAAATGTTCACATTAGAGGCCCGCTTACATCGGTTGTCTCAACAGAGTGCCCCCAATACATCAATTGTCCCCATCAAGTCTCATGGATCAACTGTATCCACTCTCAGAGATGGGGGGGGGCACACGTAAAATCTGGAGGTGCAAAGCCCACCCCAGCACTCCCCTAAATCCGGGCCTGCTGTCAACCCGCTCTGCTACATGTTTGCAAACAGCAAACTGTTTGGAGATCACAGTCTTCCCTTCTAATAATCAAGTCCACTACCACTAGTATCTGCCTCTCTTTGCCTAAACACCTGTGCCCATTCTTATTGGAGCAGGAGCAGTCATTCCCCTGAATGCTAGAGGAGGTATTCTGCTTCAGCAATGATACTCCTGAACTGGTAACTGGCATATCATGCAAATGTGGCATATTTATTGAGAGTTATCTACTTAGGAATAGTCTCTTTAACACTATTGCTTCTAACTATAACCCACCTACCTATCTCCAACCCAGTCTCCACCATGTCTCCACCCTCCTCTATATGAACCCCAGCCAATACCTGATGGGTGAGGTCAAACTCCTCTCCAAATTGTTATTGCTCTTCAGTTCTGCTAATTGATTCTTTCACCACTTGCCCTCCTGAGGAATTACCCCTTTCCTTACCAGGCCATTTTTTGTGATACAGCGCTGCATTACTTTAACTGACAGTTGGCAGTCATGCAATGCTGCACCCAAATGACATTTATGTCCTTTTTTCCCACAAATTGAGCCTTCTTTTGATGGTATTTGATTGCCTCTGCGGTTTTTATTTTTTACGCTATAAAAAAAGACTGACAATTTTGAGAAAAAAAGAAAAATATTTTTTACTTCATGCTATAAAACATATCCAGTAAAAAAATTTAAAAAATCAAATTTTGTCATAAATTTAGGCCAAATATATATTCTGCTACATGTCTTTGCTAAAAAAAATCCCAATATATGTAAATTAATTGGTTTATGTGAAATTTAAAATGTCTAAAAATGGTGGTATACCTGTATATACTAGAATTTTTATACTAGTAATGGCGGTGATCAGCTGGACTGTGAGACTGCGGCGGGCATTCTGACACTGGGGGGGGGGGCTGACTAACTGCCACTGACATACCAGTGACACCAATACAGTGATCAGTGCGAATAAATAGCACTGACACTGTACTAATGACACTGGGCAGGAAGGGGTTAACATCTGGGGTGATTAAAGGGTTAACTGTGTGCTGTGTGCTGTTTTACTGTGTAAGCACATTGCTTTGTATTGCTCTGCTATGCAGCACCATAGAAAGCAGTGTGCAGGAGCTGACAGGGGGGATATCTATATTGTTTACATACAGACCACTCCCCCGTCAGTGATACTCGATGATCGATGGGCGCTGGTGGGGAATCACCGGCCAGGACCTGGTGATCAACAGCTGAAGCTATATATATGTGATTTTGCGCAGCCCTGCCCTCCGGTAGCAGTATTTCTACTATAGCGTGGTGGGCAAGCGGTTAAGTAGCACCCTCCTAGTTAGTCGCTAGGATGTCTATAATTAGGTTGAGCATAGCTGTGTTTCTCTGATTACCAGAGTGGCTGTCAGGTAGATTCTGCTTAACAGAGTGCCATGATTGATTGGTTAGGCCTGCTCATGTTGCTCTGGTGCTATTGGAGTTTGTCTGAGTTCTTCCTGCCTTCAGGAAGCTATGACAGCCTTCCAGGATATGTGTAGGGGATAGGCAAATGAACATCATGAATATGGATACATCCCTAGCTAATTGCAGGGGAGGGTTAACCCATTGCATAGTGGTATAGTGGTATTTATATTCTGAAATCACATGGGTTCAGGGTCTTTCCCAGGAGTGGATTTCACCAGCCAGGCTGGAGGCAGGCTGCCTCACCTGGCAACTGCTGCCATGTGGCCTCAGGTAGGTCGACCTGATGGCCTGAAGTTATAGAGAGTGACCCTTGTTGACTGAGGGGAGCTCTCTACCAAAGCTCTGTTTGGCATCACTGGAGGGTTTCGCTTGGACAATTGGAAAGAGGCAACCATTCTGTCCGTGAACCTTGTGAGTTCTGACATTAAGGAATTTGGGGACTCTGTGTGTTTGCTACTTCCCCTGGTGCTTGATAGTCAGTGTGGGTCTGGAAAAAGGGAACACTGGCTAGTGTTCTGAAATGCTTGTTCAAGTGATGCTACTGTAAAGGACTTTGCTGAGCTACGTTACCTTTGGGCTGTCGCAGTCTATTGTAATTGGCTTATACCTGAGGAGCTCAGCCCTGTATCTACTACTACTGCTATAGGGACTTTGCTCACTCCTAAAACTACTTGCTGCTACTGTATATGTTACAAGAAAGTCTGTGTGTACTGACAGCCAAGACTTCTACAGTGTTCAGCTAAGAGTTTAGCTAGGTGTCCTCAGTGTGAATAGTTCTGATTTGGAGTATCCTAATTCCCCATCCCTATCCCCAGTTCTACAATAAACGCCATAAACAAAACATCCCCTAGACTGGTCATTGAAGACAACAAGCTGAAGTGTACTTCGCTGCGGAAATACGCTGTGCCTGGCTGCGGAGCAAAGAAAGGGGAAACCAGGGCAACAAACAAGCAGCTCCTGCGGGGGTAGCGCTATATTGCGATCCAGAGTCTGCGCTTACAAACAAACTTGCTTGTATCTTGCTTGAAACAAGTAGTTTGTGCAAACATGTTGCAAAGAGGACAATACCAATGTTTGATGTCAAGAATGGCTACTTACTTTTTCCCACAGTACCCCCATTACATCTATTGATACGTTTTGTAGCACTACCTCCATAGGTGCTGATGAAGAGTTGGGTCCCCCTATCGTCCTGCACAGCCAGGCAACATGCATTTTCCACAGACTTGCACTTACAGTCAGTAAACAGTCCTTGAGTTTGATTTTATGTTTTATTATGTTCAGTGCTCAATGACTCCCATCATGCTTGTTAGTTCCTCCTGCTGACACCTACATCTCTGCTGTCTTCAGCAGCACTGGCCGCAGAAAAGGTATTTATTTATTTATTATTATTACAGGTACTTATATAGCGCCATCAGTTTACACAGCGCTTTACATACAGTTGTGTTCAAAATAATAGCAGTCAGACATCACTAACTTGATCAATCACTGTTTTTGGTAGAAATGGTATTTCTACATGGCAAATAATTTACTAGCAGGTGTAGTAGAGTAATAGAAATCCAACAGACCCAACAGTCATGATATGCATGCTGCTGATTCTGTGTAATTGAATCACTAATTGAAAGGGGCATGTTCAAAATAATAGCAGTGTGGAGTTCTATTAGTGAGGTCATTCATTCTTTTGAAAAACAGGGCAATTATTTGCCCTTATTTAAGGAAGGAAGGCAGCAAATGTTGTACATGCTGGTTACAGTGAATTTCTCTCTGAAATTCTGAGGAAAATGGGTCGTTCCAGACATTGTTCAGAAGAACAGCGTACCTTGATTAAAAAGTTGATTGGAGAGGGGAAAACATATAAAGAAGTGCAGAAACTGATAGGCTGCTCAGCTAAAATGAACGCAAATGCTTTAAAATGGCAACCAAAACCTGAAAGACGTGGAAGAAAGCGAAAAACTACCATTCGAATGGATAGAAGAATAGCCAAAATGGCAAGGACTCAGCCAACAATCAGCTCCAGGAAGATCAAAGAAGGTCTAAGGTTACCTGTGAGTACTGTTACAATTAGAAGACGCCTATGTGAAGCCAAGCTATCTGCAAGAAGCCCCCGCAAAGTCCCAATGTTGAAAAAAAGACATGTGCTGAAGAGGTTACAATTTATCAAAGAGCACATTGACTGGCCTAAAGAGAAATGGCGCAACATTTTGTGGACTGATGAAAGTAAGATTGTTCTTTTTGGGTCTAGTGGCCGGAGACAGTTTGTCAGACGACCCCCAAACACTGAATTCAAGCCACAGTACACTGTGTGAAGACAGTGAAGCATGGTTGCGCAAGCATCATGAAATGGGGATGTTTCTCATACTATGGTTTTGGGCCTATTTATCGCATACCAGGGATCATGGATCAGTTTGAATACATCAGAATACTTGAAGAGGTCATGCTGCCTTATGCTGAAGAGGAAATGCCCTTGAAATGGGCGTTCCAAACAAGACAACGACCCCAAAACACACCAGTAAACGTGCAACATCTTGGTTCCAGACCAACAAGATTGACGTTATGAAGTGGCCAATCCCCAGATCTTAATCCAATAGAAAACTTGTGGGGTGACATCAAAAATGCAGTTTCTGAGGCAAAACCAAGAAATAGAGAAGAACTGTGGAATGTAGTTCAATCATCCTGGGCTGGAATACTTGTTCACAGGTGCCAGAAGTTGGTTGACTCCATGCAACACAGATGTACAGCAGTTCTCAGAAACAGTGCGACTACAACCAAATATTCATTAAGTGATTCAAAGGAAAGCAAAATCTTCAAACATTTTTCAGTTTATATAGTGAATGTTTGAGTTTGTAAAGAAGAATACAAACACTGCTGTTTTTTTGAACAGTCTAATATTCACTTTTCTTCCATTTTTTTCGAGGAACAACACAAATTTGATATATTTTTCTTCATGTTTTGATTTGGAATAGAATGTGTAGTGTTCCCAATGCATTTGTGTGTATGGAAATAAAAGCTATTAGAAGGATTTTGAGCTTTATTCACTTTTTTCAACACACTGCTATTATTTTGAACACAACTGTATATATTGTACATTCATATCAGTCCCTAACCCTCAAGGGGTGTACAATCTAAGGTCCCTAACTTACATCTATACATACACATACTAGGGCCAATTTAGACAGGATCCAATTAATAAGTATTTGCACTCTTCTTTTACAGCTACAGTATGCCTTGCCTTGGAGAGTTTGTATACCTTAAAAAAGTCTGAGGTCAATATGTGTACTACTAAAACTGTCACAGCATAAGCACAACTGTTCCAACAGTCCATGGATACTGCAACTGATTTTGCAGAACCAACATCAGAGTATATTTCTATGAATTAGCTCATCTCTTTATCTCACCATTGATCTCATCGGAAAGACAAAGCTCTGTAGCATTTCCAGGAAAACTTTCACATTTACTGTGATTCTGATCCTCGCTACAACACATGACACCATAACCAGCCAGAGCATTAAACACATGTCAAACAGTCACACTGTGTTGCAATAACTAGTGAACAGCACAGTCTCTTAGGGGAAAATCCAAGTTTATTATAAACCATCTTTGCAAACAGACAATTGTAACAGAACAATAATCTAAAATACTAAAACTAAAATAGAAAAATAATCACCATGTGATATCGATTTTAAAAAAGGTATGGTATCTATCCATAATAAGTTAAGGTTAACATTCATTTGAAGCCCAATGTTGAATTTGTAGACTAAACATAATTTGGTATAACCCAGGTTTTGGTGCTTGCCTTAATGCAGCTCTGCACTGGGCATGTTTAGGAATCCTCCTTCGAAATCCTAACTCAATTTGTCAGTATTATCTCAATGTCAACAGTCCAGCTTAAATATTTACAATAGGCATAGTACTCCGAGGGTTAGTAACACAAGATAAATTAGAAAAATGTTAACAAAATGGATGATACTATTAAAAATCCCTGGCACAAGCAGGTCCCTTTTATATACATGGAAATTTGCCTGCTCTAAGTATAATTTTTATTACATTTTATGTTTAGTTTTCTGCCTTGGGACAGTTCGGTAACACAGAGCAGAACATCAAAGCACCAGTAGTGAAATAATAAAGGTTTATCATCTTAATAATGTGTAGTACTAAGGAGGCAGTGTGCCAGACCCTGTTACTGTCAAGGTGCCTGTGTGGACACTGAACATTCTCAGTTCAATGCACACAGACAGGACTGAACGTAAACTAGACCAGGGCCTACAAGGTAATAGGCTTCTAACAATCCACACAATCCTCAGGCTTTTTAAAATGACTGGATTTGCATTTAAAAGCCATCACTAGGGGGATCTAAGGCTAGGTTCACATCTATGCAGATTACGGTTGATGTGTTTTTTGGCACATTTTGCGGTGTTTGAACACGCGGTTTTGCATTTTATTTTTTTTTTGCTAACAGAAAAGTATGACAGTTCTGTTCATTTAGTGCAACTTTGATGCGACTTTACACACTCTGGCACTCCAATAGTATCTAAGTCATATCAAAGTAGTGCAGGAACCTTTATGTGACCAAAGTTGCATGTTAGAGTAAATGACTAGGGTTAGGGTTTGAAGGCTAAGGTGCAGGTTAAGCGCTAAGGCAGTGTTTCTCAACCTTTTTTCAGTCAAGGCACCTTTTGAAATTATGGACTGTCCCGAGGCACCCTTTGAAATTATGGACTGTCCCGAGGCACCCTTTGAAATTATGGACTGTCCC